TTTTTATTTTTATTTTTTGAGATAAGGTCTCTGTCACCCAGGCTGGAGTGGAGTGGCACAATCTTGGCTCACTGCAGCCTCTGCCTCCCAGGCACAAGTGATCCCCCCACCTCTGTCTCCCGAGTAGCTGGGACGATAGGATAGGTTGGTGCCACTACAGCCAGCTAATTTTTTATATTTTGTAGAGACGGTTTCACCATGTTACCCAAAGCCTTATTGTTAAAGTGCATACTGTTCATATGCTGCCTCTTACCATAGATGTCCCAAAGCCCCTCCTGCTTTCACAGCATGGCACCCGATGTTTCGTGGGGACACTAGGGTGAATGGATGAAGAGGCTGCTCTTAGGCTCCAGGAGCAAGTCGGCTGGGAAGTCGCAGGTTGCTGAGTGTACCAAATCCTGCACAACTACCTGAGTGTCTGTAGCACAACAGCAATCTTAATTGATTAGATCTTTTCTTTCTTTTGAGGTAGGGTCTCATTCCAGTTGCCCAAGTGGAGTGCAGTGGTGCAGTCTCAGTTCACTGCCACTTTGACCTCCTAGGCTCAGGTGATCCTCCCACCTCAGCCTCCCGAGTAGCTGGGACTGCAGCCACCTGCCACCATGCTTCGCACATTTTTTTTTTTCTGTATTTTTAGTAGAGATGGGGTTTTGCCATGTTGGCGAGGGTTGTCTCGAACTCTGGACTCAAACAGTCCACCCGTCTGCCTTCTCAAAGTGCTGGGATCATAGACATGAGCCACAGCACCTGGCCACGCCCACAGGGACAGGTGTGACGCTAAGCTGTGTCTTCAAAAGTGAATGGACTGTGCTTCTCCACATGGCCTTTTCTAGTGTCCTGCTTTAATAAGTCCGGCTTATGTTAGAAATTCCTATTTTCCATCCAAAAAACTTTGGAAATCCCAGCACTTTGGGAGGCCGAGGCTGGCGGATCACGAGGTCAGGAGATTGAGACCCTCCTGGCTAACACAGTGAAACCCCATCTCTACCAAAAATACAAAAAATTAGCCGGGTGTGGTGGTCCACACCTGTAGTCCCAGCTAGTCAGGAGGCTGAGGCAGGAGAATCGCTTGAACCCGGGAGGTGGAGGTTGCAGTGAGCCGAGATCGGACCATTGAACTCCATTCTGGGTGACAGAGCAAGACTCTGTCTCAAAAAAAAAAAAAAAAAAAAAACCTTTGGAAATCTTGAGTAAAATGAGGTATGCCTGTATCTGCGTAGATTCTGTAAAAGTGCATGAGGTATGTGGTACCTGCCAGTAAAAGACGGGACTAATCACAGAATGATTCTTAGCTGCCTCACTTAAGCAAAATTTGACTTCTCTGGCCTCCAGGAACTCTGACTTTCCTAACAGGTCTCAACCCTTCCTGGCCTGTTTGTTCCAGATCCTCCCTCTCTGTGCATGCTCCAACTGTTCCTGTCCTCTCAACCTTCCCCGCTGCTCAGTGAGTCTTCCCCTGCACCGTGTTGCCTTCATATTCTAACCTGCAATTGGTGAGCACAGTGAGAACATCCAAATCAGGACAAACACAGAACCCAAGGGAGTAGACAGTATTGTCTCTAACGAGTCCAGTGTACCCACCACTCAACAGCCCTGTCAGTCTCAGTCAGCCCTCTTTGATGCTTTCCCCCCAGAGTATTTTAACGCAAATTTCAAG